TGACCTGGTAATTTTCAAAACCGATAGCGTTACATTTTTCCCTCGATAGGTATTCCTCAAGTTCCTTGGCTCAAGCCGTGACGGAGACGATTTTCGAATTCGAAATTCGAAGATCACGGAAGGGGGGGGGATGATAAATACCAGGAATTCGATAATGAACAAATTTGTCAACGACGCTTCGAATCTCGTCCGTGCGTCTAAATCAATTAGTTGAACAGCGATCGTTTGCATACAAAGCGATCTGATTGCCATCGGCATACGAATTGGAACATGCATGTAACGCGCGCGCAAATTTGGACCCATCCCAAGAATTAACCTAGACCCAGCCTAAATTCAACCTCTGCCCTAATTCGCGCATTATTCTCCCACTCCTGTATTCACGACGTACTAAACACCTGAATTCTATAATATAACGCGGCACGTTGTCAAACCACCGACGCGGTATTAAAATATAACCTCGACTTAAACAAAATGTCAAAACGTTCAGCGGAACAATGTTGTCAAATGTCGAAGGAGAAAACGTACGAGGCGTAATGAGAAATCTAGTTCTAGATTCTTTCGTATTTCGAGGACAAATTAATTTTCTCGAAGCAATCTCGAAAGGAAAATGGTGGTTCCTGCATAACCTCGCTTTTCAAAATTCGAGGATTAATTCACTTTCGCGCATATATAAGTCTTCGCAAAATGTTTCTTATCAAGTTATTCTTTTATCTAAAAGACACTCGTATCTTCGAGATAAACGAACGTAATACAGTTGAGAGAGGAGGAACTTGTTTGGAGAAATTTGTTTAAAAAAAGCATAAATCAAAAGAGAGAAAGAAAATCAACTTGGAATGATTCAAACTACATAGGAAACGTTATGTAGACAGCATTAAATAAATTGCAGTCGCCGTTGTACAAATCTATGGATTATTGACAATAAACGGCGTGTGTGAATATAACGGATATAAAGGGTGAGTCAATATTCGAGGAAATTGATCTGTAAGTTATTTAATGTTAATGCATACTTTAAATCAGTTTTAATACGATTCCGAGGTTTAATATCCGGAATTGTAAATGGAATTGTTGATTGTATTGTAGGGGTACGTGCCTCTGTTCCATTGACAGAAACGTACGCGTTTGTTATTATTGTTAGATTACTGTTACTGGAAATCTCAAAACCTTCGGATTATTCCAAATTCAACTTTGATAATAAAAGTGCATTCTTTATTTAATTGTAACGATGACGATATAATCTTAACTTCACCCGGAACGTGGAAGATTATTTCCATTGTACTACGATTACGATTGAAGCTCATTTTCAAAGCTGGCAAAAAAAAAAAATTCAATAAAATCTAACGAATGAAGGCTTCAGTCTTCAAATCCATTTTGTAGAGAAAAAAGAAGACCTGTCGATATTCTTACATACTATGATGATTCATAGAATTTCCATCAGAATTCTAGAACCTTCAAAACGAGCCCATGTTAGTTTTATATTGTACAACTTTCTTTTCTCTTTTTGCCGAAGTCGCTGTGCTTAGTCACAACGTGCTTAGCGACAACATCAATCCACCTTACCTACAAGCAAATTTGGCGAGCAGAAAGTCGAGAAAGTTGGCTGACCTCTGGAGGAAACTCATCCGATCTGTCAGACTGCCTCTATCTAGTTTCGGAATGTAGCTGGGGATTTCGGGACTGCTCACAATGTCGTTGGTCGATGGCAGAGCCACGCTGCTCGGTCGCCTCGACTACGATCGGTATGCTCAAAGCGTGAACGATACCGAGGAAACATTCAGTGGTGAAAAGTTCGATGATGCACACGTCGAACTTCGCCTTAGACCGCACAAGTTTCCTTGAACGTTGGATTATTTAGCACACAGGGTCACACGTTGACGTGCCAGTTGCAAGCACACGCCTCAGTCTTTCCCATTTAGATGGCCTGAAGGAGCTTGGCATTGTCCTGGTACCCACCAAGCTTCATAGACTCGAGCTTACATCGATATCCGTGAAATTAGCCTGCAATTAGCTTCTGCGAGAAAGACGACACTGACACTGCTTGATGGCCTTTCTTCGCCAGTTTCTTCAGCAGTGGCTCGAACACGTTGTAGTGACTTTTTGCCGGATGCGGGAACAACGCCAAAATTCTTGCATAATTAGCACCGAACATTACGCAACTAATCACTGACAGCGCAAACTCAGGAAACTCATTGTGGCGGAAAGAATAAATAAATAGAAATGTATGTGTGTGTGTGAGAGAAAGAGAGAGAAAGAGAGAGAGGTTTGATTTTTCAAAAAAAAAAAAAAAAAA